AACTGAAAACAACAAAGGAACAAGACAAACAAACAAAAACTCATAGACACAGGCAATGTTTAGCGGTTACCAGAGGGTAAGGGGGGAGGTGGTAGATGAGAGTAAAGGGGGTCAAATATATGGTGATGGAAGGAGAACTGACTCTGGGTGGTGAGCACACAATGTGATATAGAGATGATGTATTACAGAACTGTACACCTGAAACCTATGTAACTTTACTAACAATTGTCACCCCAATAAACTTTAATTAAAAAAAGATAATGCTGAGGGAAAAATACTATGTTCTAGACTCACACATATTCCATCTAACATGACTTAAACATTAAAGTACCCAGAATACAAAAGCTTCTGGTAGGATTTAGGAAGTAGTCACAAAACAACCCTACTCTCATCCTATCAACCAAAACAAGACACAAAACCTACAAAATCATAGCAGCTGTTGATTTCAACCCATCAGGGAGCTGAGGACACAACAAAACCTATTAGAACTAACTATCAGGAAGTGACTGGCTGCTCTCACCCCTTACAAACAGCTGAAGAAGAGTAAATTGAACAAGAGTGAAGAGAAGCCTTTTTTTTTTTCTAATTTTTACTAAATTTATTGGGGTAGGATTGGTTAATAAAATTACATAGGTTTCAAGAGTACAATTCTGCAATTCTGTAATACATCATCTATACAGTGATTGTATGTTCACCAACCAGAGTCAGTTTGCCTTAAATTTAATGAGCTGTATTGACAGGGGCAGGGGTGCTGGCGAGACAAACTAGGGTTCCACGAAGCCCCAGTCAAGAAGCGAGTCTGCACCCACCTACCAACTCCTCCCCTGCAGTCTTCACCCACTGCCTGGGGTGGCAGGTCAATGGGTGGGGAGGGCAGGAAAGTGAGCAAGATGCTCCCTGAGGCATGAGAGGTGTCTCCCAACATGAAGCAGCTGCCCTCTCAAGTCACCAGCCTAGGCTACTAGGCTAAGGGCCTGAGAGAAATCCCAGTAAAGCACGCTAGGCCTTTAGAGAGTCCATGACAACTGCCCTCTGAAGGCTGGGAGCAGGATATCAGATCAGAGAGAGATTTCCTGAAGAAACAGAGAGCCAGAAGTAAACTGGGAACAAAAAGAGAACTCTACCATAACCCTAAAAATAGGCATCAGGACTTTACAACAGAAAGAGATACCCCACAGTTCTGAAAGCTAGTAGTTGAGTTGTGAAACCAAAAAACGGATTGTCAGAATCTCATTGGTGCTCAGATTCCGAGCCCTCGAAACAGTGGAGGTCATGGCTGAGCTCAACAAAACGAAAACACAAAGGAAACCCAAACCCAGCTCAACTAGAGATCACACAGACTCACCCTCTATTCTAGCAGCCTGAAAGAAAGGCATGCCTTTTTTGGAAGCAAATAATTTAATTTGTACTAAAAATGTTTAAATGTCTACCATACAATCAAATATTGTGAGACACACAAAGGATCAAAAAAATGTAGCCCCTAGTCAAAAGAAGCAGACCTAGAGATGGCCCAGGTGGTGGAATTACTAGGTAGGCAATTAAAAATTAGATTTATAAAAATGGCAAAGGATATAGTAAAAAGAGTGGATATGATACATGAGATATGGGGAATTTTAGCAACAAGGTCATGGAAATGTCTGTTAGAATGAAAAATGTATCATAAGTGAATAATTCATTAGGTGGGCTTAACAGAACTAAACACTGCTGAGGAAAGAATCGGTGAACCTAAACACAGATCAAGTATCAAAATCAAAACAGAAAAAAAATGGGAAAAGAAAAATAAGAAAAAACACAGTACCTAGGATCTGTGCTACGAAATGTCATACAAGTATAATTGGGGTACAGAAGAAGAAGAGTGAATATGTTACAGAAGACATATTTCAGGAGATAAGTGTCCTAATTGATTAAAAAAAATCAATTCACAGATCCAAGAAACTCAGCAAACTCTAGGAAAAATATTTTTAAAAAAACAAAAAAAAACCCACAACTAGGCATCTCCTAATCATACTGCTGAAATTAAAAATAAAAGGCAAACCATAAAAGTTCAGCTAGAGAAACGAATACTTTACATACATACACAGAGAAAAATGATACAAATGACAACTGATTTCTCACCAGAAACAACAGTGACCAAAGACAACAAAATTGTAAAGAACTGATAGAAAAATACTGGCATCCTGTGATTCTATGTCCAGTGAAACTACCTTTCATAAACAGAAGCAAAAAAAAAGTTTTTCACACAGACAAAAGCTGAGAGAATCTTGTCTCCAGCAGACCTATACTACACACAAAAAGTGTCAAAAGAAGTTTTTCAGGCCAAAGAGAAATGATACCAAATGGAATCCCCAATTTACAAAAAGAAATGAAGAACAATGGAGAGGTTACTCTGTTAGATGTTGGTCATACAAAGATAAATGAGCTATTTAGAACAGAAATAACTAACAACCAAGTGAAGAAGACAAGCATATAAACAAGTAATTATATAGCTATATACAAAATGTAGTAAGTGTATGTACAATGTATCACAGTAACTAAGCAGAGGAGCATCTAACTCACCAATATAAAAACCCTCTACTTTGGAATAACCCAGCAACATAAAATTGTCTCTGCATGAATATGTGTCTGGAAGCTACTGTCCCTACTATGTATATTAGTTCCCCAATTCTCCATATTTGTTTTTAAAAAGTAGGAGACACCAAAAAAGCT